CCTCACTACCATACACTACATGTGATGTGTATATGTGTTATGCTGTGATGTAATTACACAGCATATGCTTAGAAAACTTTAGTAAGTTAGATTTTTCTAAAGAAATAGATGACATGAATTTTCCTATCTTATTTGACCCAATATATCAAACATATCATTGCAGTGGTTAAAGTTATCCAGGTGTTTTGTGCATTTCAAGTGTGCAATTGTTCTACAGACCAGGCTGGCCTCAACTCTCAGAGTCCCGCCTGCCTCTGCCTCCTGAGTTCTGGGATTACAGGCGTGTGCCACCACCACCTGGCTTCACGTGCTCAATAGTTGATAGGTGGCTCCTACGCTGAAATGGGCAGGATTAGACTGATTGTTATCAGTGTTAGTTTGCGACAATGATGCATAAGTGGGATTCAAAGTTAATTGCATTGGATCAATCCCGAGCATTTCCTTATGATGATCATTCTTTCCAGACAGAGACGTAAACAGTTTCCACTCCTTGCTCTCCCAGGGGCCCATCAAAAAGTTAGGCAGTATCCTGAGATGCTTACAATAAACACAGGAAATGTCCCAGCTAACATTAAAATATTGTCTACCATTTATGTGCTAAAAATGGACCTGGAACATGCAAAAGATGAGCTCACTGGAAGAAACACTAATCACCAGGGGTGATATGGGCGCAGGAGGGGGGCGGAGTTCTGACTTAGATGACCACAAAAGGATTCCTCCTACCCCACCCCAGGTATCCCTGATTGTGACTATGCTTCAGTCTGGGTTTATGAAGAATTATCAGATGCTACCGATGGGTTCAGAACCTGTTAGTCCTGAACACCATAGACAGCACTAAGTAAAAGCAACAGCTCATACTGGATGAGCACCTCTCAGCAAATCCACTCCCTTTTGGAACAGGCACCCTTATATACAGAACAGAGGCAATGACTTGCCCAAGAGAGATGGAAACACACAGGCAGCCTGACGCCAGAGCCAGGCTCTCAGCTGCTGTTTGTAGTATACAAAAAAGAATCCCTTAAATATCAGTAAAGTACAGAAAGAAAGAAAAAATAAGACAGTAAGATGGGAGAAATGGGGTGAGGGTGGGTGTAGAACAGGAGCAGCCACCACTGTGTAGTGCACTCTGCAGCTGCAGGCCTGTACACAGGTCACGGGACTCTTCCAGGAAGACATGCATCTGAAATAAAAATCTAGAGGGAGCTGAAAACAGATTTTTTTTTCCCCCTCTAAAACAGGGTTTCTCCTTTTAACAGTTCTAGCTGTCCTGGAACTCGGTCTGTAGACCAGCCTGGCCTTGAACTCACAGAGATCAGTTTGCCTCTGCTTCCTGAGTGCTGCTGGGATTAAAGGTGTGCACCACCACCACCTGGCTTTTTTTTTTTAAACCAAATTTTTCTCTCTTTATGACTAAACAAAAAATAGATTTCTAGCTATAAAACAAAAACAAACAAACAAAAAGGCTATTTTTCCATTTTAAAAAACACAGGACTAAGCCCAAAACAAATAGCCTGGTCTCGAGTCTGATAGATTTTTCTAAAAACTGTTCTTACCTCCAGCCGCCGGATAATCTCCCGAAGAGGAAGTGCAGACTCCTGTCCCCCGATGAAAGTGGTGGTGGGCAAGTGGAAGACCTTGTCAAGGTCAGACTCATCTAGGCCATAGAACCCTACAGACGATGAGGGACAAGGCACAGCCACGCAGGGGTCATAGTTTACAGGAAGGGACGAGGAGGAATGTCCCAAAGAGCAAAAAGAGAGAAAAAGATATCACATACCCCTGATATTTAAATATATGTATATGAAAACAAGCAGTATTTCCATCAAAACCAGAAATTTTAACAATAACTAGGCACTAAGATTATTACTATGTAAACCAGAACAAAGCTATTATGCACATATTAGTCCAGTGTTTGACAATTACTTACAATTTAGAGTTAAATATATTTGAAGGTACCAAGATAAAAGCCAATTTTTGGAGGTGGAAAGAGCCAAAAGAAATCAATCAAAAAGTAAATAAAAAGTTGAGAGAATTAAGTAGGAAACGAGGAACTGATAGAGAGCAGCAGACCATATGAGTCATTTAACAGGAATATGAGGATATATTACAGAGTGAGTGAGGGTGAAACAGTCACTGGGAATCAAGCCACTTGTGGGAGAACTGTCCTCCAGGGTACACTTAGGGAAGCAAAAAAAGGTTGCCCTTAGCCCTTAGCCTTGGATTAGGGAAAAGTCTTTTTTTCCTGAAACAGCCAAATTGCTAGATGTTCTAGGTGTGTTCTGCAGTGCTAGTCGATTACAGGTCTAACCCTCACTTCCCTATCGGCTCTCCCTGAAGTACCACAGGGAAGACGCTCTTCATCTGAGAGCAGGTTTCAGACTGGAAAGAATAGGATGCTCTTCAGCAGCATGCTTGTTTCAACCTGAAGTCATTAAGGGAGTAAGCTAACAAATGAAACCATTGGTATTTCTTCCAGTTTGGCACTTACTCTGAAGGGTAAAGAGCACAGTGTAAGAGTCGCCAGTACTTGAATGCACTTTCTAGCACTTTCTCCGCCTCCAGAAATGAAAAGTGACCCTCCGGCAGACAACCAGCTGAGTCTCTGACATCTGACTGGTCTAGATAAAATGTTTCCCTGTTTCCTGCCTGAACTAAGTAGAAATAAGGGCTGCTGTGCAACACGAGTCAGGGAACTGCACTGATGTAAGGAACCTGAAACACAGCATGGGTACAAACACGAGTCAGGGAACTGCACTAATGTAAGGAACCTGAAACACAGCATGGGTACAAACACGAGTCAGGGAACTGCACTGATGTAAGGAACCTGAAACACAGCATGGGTACAAACGTCCAGACTTTTTGTTCTGTCCCCTGACAGAGTCCCTACTTAGCTCTGAGCTGGCCTAGAACGGGCTGTGCAGACCAGGATGACCTTGAACAAAGGGACTCTTTCTGCCTGGCCTCTGATTAGTGGAATTACAGCTGTGCACCAGTCTGCCTGGTGGTCAGGGGGAATCTGTAAAAACACCTTTTCAGTCTTTAACATCGGTGCAGACCCAGGTATCTCCTAATGATCCCATTCATTAGATCCCCATCCCACTTTTTTTGAGACACGGTCTTTTCACATAGCCCTAGCTGTCCTTGAACTCAAGAGATCCACCTACCTCTGCTTCTTGGGTGCTGGAGTTAAGTGCACCACCACACCCGGCTGGGGAATTACGTTGTTAAGTCTTAAAAGGTTACATTTTATCCAAGCCCTTTTAATTTTATTGAAACAAAAGCAAAGCAAATAAAAAAACAAAAACAAAACCAACAACAAAACCCAAAACAAAACAAAAAAAACCCCCAAACCTAGAGGAAGATAATGGTAAAAGTAAAAGTGGTCAAGCTATTTACTTGTTTTTTTCCTATTACTTTACCATAAAGGAACAGCAGTTACGGGCTTATAAGAAGCACATAGCTCTTGCCTTTTATAACCCAGCTTGTAAGCAACAGCTCTACAGTGTTTATGGAAGAAAACAGGAAATATTTTCTATAGTTGTGTTTCTTTAAGACAGGCTCATGTTATATAGACCAAACTAATCGTTTCTCCCCTCAAATGAGTCTTGATCCAGCAGCAATTCTCCAGTACCAGTCTCCTAAATGCTCTAATTACAGGTATGCACCACTGTGCTTGATTTAACAAAGTTATTTTTGAGAAACTTTTCCAGGCTTACAAAACTCAGCTCAGGCCAGGCATGGTTACTACAATCCAAGTACTTTGGAGGTGAAGGCAGGAGGATCATGAATTTGAGTTCAGTCTTGCTTATAAGATTATATCTCAAAACAAAACAGCAACTACCACCAAATAAAACAAGACAAAATACCAGAATTCTCAGGTTAAGGGGAAGATCAGAGGAACACTGTTCAGTGTAGAAAATAAATATCCAGATTATGATGTTAACCAATCGGGTAGACTCCTGCAGATGAGGGCTGCACTGCTACACTACAACCTGAAGAAGTGGCAAAGGAGGCACATGGTGTGTGATGGTCCTTTAGTTGAACACTCAGTTGTAATTCACAGTTCTTGGGAGGCGCTGATCAGCCTCAGAAGTACTGGGCCCATTTCTAGATCTTCAGTCATTTGAGAAATGAAACCACAGACATAAGTTTTGGAGGGAAAAAAATCACTCTTTTCTGCTTTTCTACTAACTCCAACTAAAAATGCTAGATTTTCCATGTAGAAAAAAGGGTAAGATAACCCTGTGAAAGGCCAAAAGAAGGTGGACAAAGCCAGGGAAACCTCTGAGTTCTCTTCTGCTCCCACATCCCAGACAGGGAAGAAAGAATCAGCAGTGCCAAGCCCCACAAATGCTGCTCTATGAAGGTCAGGAGGGGGCAGCTTCACAAGATCAGAGACCTTGACACAGTTTTGCGGCACCTGCCCCCCCCCCCATCTCTCACTAACTTGTCACAAGCCTCAGTACCCAAACTGAGGTTTCAGGGAAAACCTGAGTCTAAAACTTTTATCTCCTTTCTGAGAGATAAATAGGAAGAAGGTAATGCCCCGGACAGCAGCAATATTCAGAGGAGGCCTGTTATGACAGACTTATATAAGACCACCAAATGCATAATACCAAAATGTCTTTTTTCCACTAAAAATTTCAAAACATACCACAGAGCTGGTAAGATAGCTCAATGGGTAAAGGAATTTGCCACTAAGTCCGATGAACTGAACTGATCCCCAGGTCCCATGTAGTGGAGAGAACTGAATCCCTCAAGTTGTCTTCAGATCAGCATAGCACCCACACTCACTAAACAGAACTTGGTGATTGGCATGGCAGGGCATTCTGGCACTTGGGGTGGTGTGGGAGAATTGTCTGTATTCTGTCAATCATGTATTTTAATAAAACGCTGATCGGCCAGGCAGGCAGTACAGGCGGGAAAGCCAGACAGGAAGTAGGGGTGGAGCAGAGAGACTGGGAGTATTCTGGGAAGCAGGAAGCTCCCTCGTCACTCCTGAGCAGACCACCGAAGCAGCAACATGTAAGCTGACAACTGAAAAAGGTACCAAGCCATGTGGCTAACATAGATAAGGATAATGGGGTACATAAGTTATAAGAGCTAATAAGTAGCCTGACCTGATGGGCCAATCAGCTTATAACCTAATGTAGACTCTGTGATTTCTTTGGGACTTGCCGGCTGTGGGGTACCGGGTGGGACATCATGTTACATTGGGGGATGAGTAGGAGGATCAAGGGGTTAAGATTAGCCTCAGGTACAAAATGAATTTGAGGACAGTCTGGGCTATGTGAAAACCAAAAACATACAAATAACAAACAGCATCAATCACCCCACTATATAAAAATAGAAATAGAACTTTTTAAAAGTAGACATACAAGTCCCTAGCACAACAGGAAACTAAAGCAAAGAAATAGGAATATTTGCCAGATGTGGTAGCACATGTCTTTAATTTTACACTGGGAGGTAAACAGGAGGATCTCTGTGAGTTCTGTAAGCCTGCTCTATGTAGCGAGATCCTATTTCAAAAGAAGCAAGAACATTTCAGAATGAACGGGAAACAATAATCAATAGCCTCATAGACATAGATGTTAGAGTTACTTGAGTCAAATAAAGCCATCACAAAACCATTTTAGTGAGTAATTACAAATATTATAGTGACAAAAAAGTTGAGTTACAAGTTGAAATTCTTATCAAAAACTAAAAACACACAAAACACCAGATGGAGGGGCTCGTGAGATAGATAGTTCAGCAGGTTTAAGTGTCTGCTACCAAAGCCTATGACCAGTTCCCAGAGAACACACAGTAGGAGAGAACTGACTGCCACAAACTGTCCTCTGACCTTCACACACGTGTATCCACACATGTATACATACACAGAGATGAAGTCAGTGGGTCTGAAGATGGAAGAACAGAAGCTCACCCACTGGGTGAAAGCCAACACTAAAAAGCACTGAGGACATGTGACACTATAATTAAAGATTTCACACTCACGTGGGCAAGCTCCTGAGTACACCTGAGAAGGTGCTTAGAAAATGGCTGAAAACCTCCTAATACAGCAGAAGACCTAAACCTCCCAGATTCAAGAAGCTGAATGAATCTAAAGAATAAGGCACTCAAAGGAGACAAGTTTTCTACTCCAATTGAACTGGTGAAATAAAGACATAAGTAGGCTGATAAATTATGTCTACATAATGTAATACCTTGAGCAACTAAAAGAGCTATAGAAATAGATACATTACAAAGATGGGATTATAAAGTAAGAGTATTAAAATCCAGGCTAGGAAGATGGCTTAGTGGGTGAAGGAGTTGACACACGGGCTAGGTTTAAGTCCTGGAACTCATGTAAAGGTGGGAAGAGAACTAACTCCACAAGCTGTCTTCTGACCTCCAGGTCTGTACCATGGCTTGCTCAGGTCTCCTCTCCTGCCCCCACCATGTTTTCCTAAAGGTTCATAGATGAATAGGAAGTAAAAGCCATTTTTTAAAAACTGTTCTAACAAGAATAAAAATACTCTACAGTGACAATTGTAGCCCTCCCTGTGGCTTTTACTAAATAACTGTAATTCCTCAGGTACCTAGTAGGAATTAGCAGAATGAACTGCTCCTTCTTAGAAGTACTGACCCTAAAGAGTCAGTGACTGTTTCCCGGGATCTGTAGAACTGTTTTGCTGAAGGGCCTTGTGGCCATCCCATGACTGATCACAAGACATCTCAGGCACACCTGAGGCTCTTGTATTACTGTGTATTGCAAACCATATGTAATGAAGGACCAGAGTCATGGGGCATGTGATGTTCCCCTTCAGTAAGACATGTGAATTAGATTAGTAACCTTGGTTTGAGGAAATACTTTGTGTAACTTTCAATAAATACACCTTTGTATGGCTGTTCAGGGGTTCAGTCCATCAGAGAGGCTGAACTTTCCTGCTGCCACATAGGCCTTAAAATTTCATCTTGGAGTGCCTTCTTTCCTCTACTGACCTGCGCTACCGGGTGCACCCCAACACCCAGGAATATTCCTGGGAAAAAAGCAAAGGCTGAAGCCTGGTGCCTGCCAGAGAGGTACCTGTCTCCTGGACAGACAGAGATTCCACAGAGTTCTGACAACCTGCTAAACAACTAGAACTGAGATAATAATGGTGTAGACCAGTCCTTAGCCAGGATGGCTGAGTTATGCGTACTCCTTGCCCTCTTACTCACACCTAAACTTCACGTAGGGATCCCCAATGGTCTGGGAAGGCCACTGGGCCTCTGTACTCCTCTTCCCACTGTGACCACATGGGATAAGTCCTTCTTTTTCTGTTTCTCACCGTACTTTCTTTCACTGACCTTTTGAAGATGAGTAGCTGAGCCTAACTTGTTAGGGCTGTCAGGGCCCTGGTTCTGACCTACTAACAAAATGAAAAGCAGAAAAACAGGAAAAAGAACAAAATGGTGCACTTCCACTCTTAATACATCAATAACCACACTAAATATAAATATCATTAAATAAAAAGAATTGGTAGGGTAGATTTTTTAAAAAAATTAACTCAACAGAAAAACTAGGACCTAGCACAAGACAGCCTTGGTTTCTCTTTTTGTTCTTTCTTTCATTTATCATTTTTTGTTTGTTTGCTTTTTGGAGACAGGGTTTCTCTGTATAGTGCTACTGTCTTAGAATAGCTCTGTAGACCAGGCTGGCCTCAAACTCACAGAGATCTGCCTGGTTCTGCCTCTCAGAGTGCTGAGATTAAAGTAATGCACCACCATTCCTGGCATGATTAGTTATAAGAACCTTACTTATCCTTACTTATAATATTATGACATGTGCAGATAGAGAAGATAGCAACCCTAAATGCACAAGCAGATTTTATATATATAAATATATAAATTTGTGATATCATATAAAAAGCTTGTATTTCCAACACTGAGAATAAGGCAGCAGGATTGCTGCAAGTTTTGAGGCTGGCCTGGGTTACATAGTTCAAAGCCAACCTGGGCTACACAGTGAGCCCATGTTTTAAAAAAACAAAAACAAAAACAAAAAAACAAACAAAACCCAAACCAAAACTAAAACAAACAAAAAAGAGCTATAAACTATTGCATCAAAAATTAATGAGAGACTCAAAGGAGAAGTGGACACATCTATATAGGCAATTGAAGATTTCAATGCCCTTCTCTCAAGAAAATTAAAAAATTAGGAAATTGTTAAAGATCTAGGAGAACGATCATCAAACAAAATGTAACTGATATTTCTGTGTACTCCCCCTAACAACAGGCAATACTCTTTTCAAACGACCACGGTTCACATGTCAAGACATGATGAACGAGGCCTTAAAAACTAATAGATTATGTAGAAGGATTGAGATCATAGCAGAATAGAATTAGAAACCAGTACAACTTGGATACTCTAAATAAACCAAAAGTATTAAAAAAAACACAAAGTATGGGGGTGAAGGTTATGAATTTATCAAAACTTGTGGGAAATCTAAAGGAGTTCCAAGAAAGAAACTTACAGTAGAAAAATGCACACATCAGAAAAGAAGGTCTTTAATAATAATCTAAGTTCCTAACTCTGGTCCAGGACTAGAAGAGGGAAAAATAAAACAAAAACCAACAAGCAGATGTAAGGAACTAAGAGAGCAGAAATTAATGCACAAAATAATGAAGACCAGGAAACAAAGGGCTATTTCTCTGAAAAGATCAATATACTAACAATTTCCTTGTAAAATAAAGACAACACAATTTACAAATGTCAGAAATGAAACATGATGTCACTACAGGTCCTCAAGATATCAAAAAGATATCAAAAAGATAAAAAGGGAATATCACAAACTATGTAGATATTTTACAGTTTAGAAGAAATGAACATGGAGGAACTTCTCAATTTCCCTGTACGTTTAACCTAATTCCTAACAAAATGTTGACAAGGTTTTATACAGGTAGAAACTTATTCTAAAATGCTCCAAAACTATCATAACAATTGTGAAAGCAAAGTTATAGTCACAATAATCTAGATGTGATATTGGTAAAAGGGGACACACAATTAAAGGAAAACTGGAAATCCAAAGTAGATCCACACAAATGAAACCTAATGATTTTTTGAAAAATTTATTGTATGTAATTATTTGTGTATGTGAGACACACATGGTATAAGGCATGCATGTGGGGTCAAAGGCCCAGAAATGAAACTCAGGTTTGTCAGACTTGGAAGCAAGTGCCAGATCCTATTTTCATTTCATTTTATTTTACCTTTTTTTCTCTCTCATGGTAGGGTTTCTCTGTGTAACAGTTCTAGCTGTCTTGGAACTCGCTTCACGAACCAGGCTGGCCTCGAACTCACAGAGATCTGCTTGCCTCTGCCTCCTGAGTGCTGGGATTAAAGGAGCCACCATGCCTGACTTTCGATCTTACTTATTTTTGAGGAAAGTGCAAAAATATCACTGAAGGAGAGACTTTCCAGCTAACAATGCCAAAGTAATTAGAAACTATGGGCAAAATCAATATTAAAATAACTCTCAGTTTAGACGTTGCTTTTATACGTCTAAATTCAAATTAGATTCTAGAGTCATTCAAAATTATAAACCATTTATAGCTAAGCTGGCCTCAAACTCAAAGTAACACTTCTGCCTTGCCTACAAAGTGGCAGGATTATAGGTGTAGTCTACTATGCCTATCAGAATTACAACGGGAAACCTCTGGGACCAAAAGCTAAGGGAAAAGTTAAAGTTGACAATGAAGTGCAGTAACTGTACATCACAACATTAAAATGTTCTGTGAATCTCCATGCCATGGGATAGCACTCAGCTGAGAACACTAACAACCTGTATGTATTGCTACATAACTAAAGCTAAAGGAAAAAACTCCAATCTCAAAACCTTACCAATGTTTTATAATACTCATAAAATGACAGACTTATAGAAATGGAGGACAAGAATAGCTGCCAGGTTAAGCATGGTGGTAGGGTGAGAGCGGAAGGGTTCTGAGTCTTGACCTGGTGTGATATGTGCTGCAGTCATAACTTGACCACTGGGTACGCTGACTAAGGCTTGTGAATGTCATTAATT